AGCGGAGCGGGCGATAACCGTCCAAAGACCAGAGCCAAATCACGTCGGGGAAAGCTGGCTGGCGGCGAGCAGAGACCTCCCCTAGTCCAGCCCGTGCACATTCAGCCTCAGGGTCTCTCCAGCACTCTCCTGGGATTGCCCAGGCCAACCGGGTGGGGGTCTCAGGGGCCGGGTGGGCGCTGGCCTCTCGGTGTGGGGCCAGGGGTCACATTTGGGGCTTAAGGAAAATGCAGGTGTGTAGGGCGCGCCTCGAAATTGAGGAGGTTCAGAGTCTGTGCTTGGGCGGTGCCTGGCCCGCCGCGCGTGTGAGTGTCCGCGCGTGTGTCTTCCCCAAGGCGGACTTCCCGGAGCCCTGACAGTCAGGAGATGGCCCTCGGGTCCCTGTCATGGCCCCCGGCAGCCGCCGCCGCCCCGCGCACACAGACTTCAGGTTTCGGGCTGGGCAGCCGCTCTGGACTGGCCCGAAGACGCGCGGCCCGTCCGTGTTCGCCTACGACGCGCCCTCGGGCGGGGCTCGGGCCTGCCGGCTTTGTTGGGGAGGGAGGGAAGGTGGGCTCTGGCCTGGGGGGGAGGTGACCGTCGTGGCTTGCCGCTGTGCTCCCAGGAGCAGCAGCCGAGCTGGACAGACGACCTGCCGCTCTGCCACCTCTCCGGGGTCGGCTCCGCCTCCAACCGCAGCTACTCGGCCGACGGCAAGGGCACCGAGAGCCACCCGCCGGAGGACAGCTGGCTCAAGTTCAGGTAAGGCGCCGGCGCGGGCCCTCGGCCTGCCGGCGGTTCCCGTGCCTCCTGCCGCAAGGCGGGCCCCAGGGGTGGCCTCTGCTGCCCTCCGGGCCTCAGGCCAGCGGAGGGCCTGTACGAGGGAGGTGGGGTGGCACCCCAGAAGGTCACAGGTGAAATGGTGGGAGGGTGTGAAGAGTGAGAAGTGGGGGGTGAAGACCCTGCTGCCATACCTCGGGTGCCCCCAGCCTCCGGCCCTGTGCCCCGGGGCTGCTGGCACACCTCGGAGCCCCTGGCGCAGGCCGCCTCCTGCCCCCACCCCTCAGGAGTGACAACAACTGCTTCCTCTATGGAGTCTTCAACGGCTACGACGGCAACCGGGTGACCGACTTCGTGGCCCAGCGCCTGTCGGCGGAGCTGCTGCTGGGCCAGCTCAGCGCCGAGCACTCGGAGGCGGACGTACGGCGCGTGCTGCAGCAGGTACCGGGCCTGGCCAGCGCGAGCTGGACGGTGTGGCGTGGCCAGGCCCTCCTGCAGAGGATGCGGCTCCGGGAGCCCCGTCTTCCCGGGGTGCCCACTGCCGGCCAGCAGTCCCTCCCCATGACCCGGGCTGGCTGTGGAGGAGATACTCTGGAGAGAGGGAGTTAGGGGCATAAGCTCGGACAAAGGGGTGCAGTGGAGGGGCTGAGCCCCAGGAAATAAGCTACGAGGACAAGCCCACTTCTTCAGGGCTGACCCGTGCACGCTGCCTCTCGGGGCTGTGCGCGCCCCGAGCCTGGCCCCCTCCCACTTGCCTGGTGCCCTCGTGTGCCTGGTCTGTGCCTCTGCTCGCTGCCATTTGGGAGTCTGCCCTCCTGGCACCTCATGGAGCCGTGTTTGTGATCAGAAGGTGGGGTGCTCCTCTGGAGAACATCGCCCCGGGCAGTTTCCCCCCAGCACCTGAGGGCCAGCGCTCCCTCTGGCCTCGGCTCTGCGCGCTCACCTGCACCGCCGCCCTGGGTTCTGCTCACCTGCCCTGTCCCGGGTCGCTTCCTGGCTGTGAAGCGCCAGCCCCCGCGGCTCATGTCACACGTCACACGGGCGGTTACTGGGGCACGTGAGCAGCCCCTGCGCTGCCGCCCACCTGCCCTCCCTCTGCCCTCCAGGCCTTCGATGTAGTGGAGAGGAGCTTCCTGGAGTCCATTGACGACGCCTTGGCTGAAAAGGCGAACCTCCAGTCCCAGCTGCCAGAGGTGATCTCCCAGCCAGCCCCCCACCCCACCCGGCATGTCAGACCCCGCATGTCGCTGCCATGGACACCACTGGGCCAGAACAGCAGGGGTTGGAGGCCTTCACGGGGGCAGTGGGTTTGGCAGCTGAGGGCCCTCCCTGGACCAGTGTCGGCAGTGAAGGCGTGAGGAGAGGCCTGGCCAGGTGAGGCCTCACCCGAACACGTCCACAGCCTGGCCACCTACCCGCTCCCATCTCCCCCGGCTCTTGGAGAGCGGGCAGGAAAGCGAGTCCAGCGCTGCAGCTCCATGCTGGCCGGCCCGCGGACCCTCCGCCTGTAAGGGAGGGCAGCTGCCGGGAGGGGCCCCGAGGCCCGTGCTCTGACCCCCCGTGGCCCGTAGGGTGTCCCTCAGCACCAGCTGCCTCCTCAGTATCAGAAGATCCTCGAGAGGCTCAAGGTTCTGGAGAGGGAGACTTCGGGCGGCGCCATGGCCGTCGTGGCCGTCCTCCTCAACAACAAGCTCTACGTCGCCAATGTTGGTGAGCGCCTGGCCGTTCCGGGCCGGGTCAGCCTTGGGCCCATACTGGGAGTGGTCAGCTGTCCAGACGGGCGCCCGGGCACCCGAGGCCACGCTGTGGTTGCTGGGTGGCTCACAGGCCGGTCCCCGTGCCCGTGGGCGTCCCGGGGATGCTCAGGCCGGGAGGCGGCCTGCTGCCCTCCCACTCTGCCCAGAGCCGTGGCCGCGGGCCAGGGCCCCGCTCCGTCCACTCCATGGCTTCGTCTTCTGGAAGGGGGTGTCCAGTTTGGGAAAACCCACTCGGCCTCTGGGCTGGACATGGACCGGCCCGGCCTGCACCATGAGGGGCTGTTGGTCTGTTTGGCAAAGAAGGGGCCGTGTGAGAACAAAGGAAGGCTCTGTGGGGTGCACATTACTGTTGGGGCTCTGTGGAGACCCCCCCGAGTAAGGCCCTCCACTCTTCCTCCTTCCCGAAAGATTTCAAGAATTTCAAAAATGTGAAAAAGCAAGTGAGTGGCGCCTCGCGCAGCCGAGCGCCTGCTCTGGCCAGCCGTCCTCCCTGGTCTGCGGCGGCCACATTCTGCAAAGTGAGCCCTGGACGGGCGCTGTGGCCTGGGATCCCGCGCGTGTCTCTTGCTACCATCGTTGTCGTCGCCAGGGGGCGCCCTGGCGGGGCTGCCCTGCCCGCCACCCTGACTGGGCAGCGCCCACCTCCCCGTGCGTGAACCCCTTTGCCGGCCTTGAGGCGTCCGTATGGATGCGCCGCCCGGCCTCTCTCCTCGCTGTGTCCTGCTTTCCTGCTGCTCAGTGCTTGAATTCTGCCGCAGGGACCAACCGCGCACTTCTGTGCAAATCCACAGTGGACGGGCTGCAGGTGACCCAGCTGAACGTGGACCACACCTCGGAGAACGAGGACGAGCTCTTCCGCCTCTCGCAGCTGGGTGAGTTCCCCTGCCGGGGCCAGGGGGCCGTGGCGAGGGCTCGGGACCAGCCTGCGGGCCGGGCCAGCTCTGCCACGTCTGGGGGTGTTTGGACCCGGCTCGGATTGTCTGTGCCCGCGTTTCCCGCCTCGTAAGAGTGGCAGTAGCGCTGCGGCCTCGGGGCGCCGTGAGCGCCTGGAGCTCATGCTGGAGAGGGGCCGGGCGCCTGGCGCGCAGCACGCTGAGGGCGGTGCCGACGCAGAGGCCCTGGGCTGCAGCTGCCGTCGCCGCTCCCGCCCTCCGCGGGGCTC